AGAGCAGGGAGCAGACCGTCTGGCCTGGCATTGCCTTCCTGGGTGTAGCCCAGGCTGTTTATCTGTCCACACAGTGCCTATCTGGCGAGCACTGGGCATCCCATGGTGAGCGACACCAGACAAGGGCTCTGTCCCACGGAGCACACTGTGGGGACAGACAGCCACCTAAGGAGCTCTGGACTGGGCAGGCTTCCCGGGAAGTGACATTTCAGCTGCAACCCAAAGGATGAGTCACAGCTAACTCCAGTGGTGGGCAGAGAAAGGAAAGGCACCCAGAGGGTGGAAAGCTGTGCACGGGCTGCGGGGACAGGCAGTGTGGGGCCTGGTACCACGGCCCAGCGCCGTGACCGTCTGCTGGACAACGGAGGGGCCCAATGCCGCGAGGGCCTGACAGGCAGCAGCGTGTCCACATGTGCCTGTGGAAGGGGCGACGAGGCTGTGCCGCACGTGGATGCCGGGGGGCAAGGCACGCCCTCGTACGCTCCCTGCCCGCCGTGCCCAGGACAGTGCTGGGCACCCAGGGGCCCCAGAGGGAGCCTCGTGGCTGTAACTGAGAGAGCTTTGCTGTTTCTGCAGGTGTGAGCCCAGTCGCCCAGGTAGCTGCTCTGTCCTAACTCTGCTCCTCAACAGGAAGACACATCACCCTGTTGGCCACCAAAGTCACCAAAAGATAAACCAGGCAGAGGGTACCATCTGCTAACTGCCCTGGGCAGGGTCCATGTTGCTGTTTGGAGCTGGCTGAGCTGCAGGAGGAAGGGGCCGACCTCACGCTGGCACTGAGGCCGAGGGGCCTGGAGTACCCGGCTCCCTGCATGGCATCCGGCTGCAGGCCCGGCACCTGCCAGAGGGAGCACCCCCTCCCCGCCCTGCCCCCTGGAGCTCCTCATTCTTGAGGCCGGCACTGGTCACAAAGGGTTCTGGCAACTGGGGACAGAAGGAACGCTGGCCGCGAGGGAACAGTGCACGGCGAGAACAACTCTGCGCCTTTCACCATCCCTTCTCTCGCAGACTCCAAAACTGGGCCAGTCACGAGCCAATGATGTCCCGGGGGTACGGGGGCTGCCGGGAGAAAACGGTGGCAGCCACTGCCTTCACACTGGTGGCTTCCAGGCACACACCAAGCTCCTTACGGGTTTGTTTCACACGGTCTCCTAGTTGACTAACAGAACCGCATGCCTTAGGATTTGTACTTGTAGCTAATCTGTCATTTGTGTAGCAGTTTGTCTAATAACCTGTCCCCCAACCTGAGAGTTCTGGGAGGGCAGGAGCTCCAGTCATTGGCACGCTCCTGGTCCCTGGGTGCTTGGCCAGCGCCTGCTACCCACAGGGTAAAGGTTTGCTTTTGCCCGAGTTACCTCACCAAGGCACCACAAGGCAGACCGCCACCGTTTCCTGATGAAGACACTGGAGCTTGTCGGAAATCCCACAGCTCGTGCAAGTGAGACGCAGCCCTAAGCCATGCCCGAGCTCCTCACCAAACCATTCAGTCTTCCATTCACCCAACAGAGGGAAGAGAAACTAAGGTCCAGAGGGAGCCTGGGGCCCCATCAGCGTCCTAACGCCCGGCAGACAGGGGCAGGGGGAGCCAGAAGGTCTGAGCCTTGGAGCAGCGCCCACCCCGTGAAATATTAACCCAGGAGCTGGGGGTGGGGAGGAACCCAAACAAATGCCCTCTTTACAGAGGCTGGAAGCGTTTCAGGAGGGAACAGACCCCAGGCCAGATGGAGGGAGTCGGGGCGAGTGTCGGGGGGCTCTGGGGAGCAGGGGTGCCGCAGCCAGCAGCCAGCCTGCCGAGTCTCCTCTGTAGGGAAGGTTGTGTCCAGAAGGTGCGGAAGTGGAGTGAGCATCACAGCTGGCTGGAGCTACCTGGAAGCAGAGGGGCCTTGGGGGATACCCGAGTTCTACTGAAACTGAACGATCACACCCGCACTGAGCTCTGTGAACCCAACAACCACGTGAGGCAGTTCTCGTAATCTATCAACTTAGGAAGAGGCAGCCGAGGCTCCGAGTGGTGAAGTAATCTACCACGGACGACGCAGAGGTACATGTGGATGTGTGTACATGTATTCATTAGCCCGAGACCCAGTGGTTTGAGCTTCCCGTGCACGTTCCAGCTGAAGCTGCAAATAACATGAGGTACATATATACTAATAATTTTGTTTTTCAGATGAAGAACTGTGGTTCAAGGAAATGCAATGACTTGCCCAAGGTCTCTCAGTAAGTGCCTGCCTTTCTCTACCGTTATGCCAAGGGCAGGAATGGGTTCTCCAAGCCTCAGCTTTCCCTTCTGCAGCCTGAGCCTTCACTGCCTCCTTGCAGCTCTGAGCATCCTTGGGCACTGAGCACAGATGGTCAGGTATCGCTGGTGACCGTCCTGCGGACAGACAGCACTTGTCTGCCACAGGACTGGAAGCTTCCTTGAGGCAGGGACCCTGCGTGATCCTTTGGGGTCTACGGGACACGGTGAGGGAGAGGTTGGTTACGGGTGAAGGAGACATAGCTCCACAAATACAGCCTAGGCAATATTTACAGTCCAACATTCACCAGGACCCTTCTCTGTCAGCACACCCGCCTCATGGGGTTGCCGAGGACACACCATCAAATGATGGCGAGAAGGTAGTAACCAACAATCATGGGAGCATTTCCTAAGAGTGATGTTTGGAGAGATCCTTCTGCTCCTTTTTGAATCAGGGAAACCTGTGCATTTCTGAACCTTTGTGATCCCAAAATAGATGACCGAAAGGGAGACTCTGAACTTGCATTTCAGAAGTCAAGAACAGCTGAGGTACTGAAGTCCTCTGCCTGGGGCGGGGGCAATGGTGTGCAAAACAGGGCTACAGAATCCAGGTGGCCCAACAAGAATGGCTCTTTACCTTTGCAGAGAGCTTTCAAGTGCACCAGACTCTTTCAGAACCTTGTTTCAGTTCATCCTCCCAACAGCCTTCAGAGTCAGTGGACAGACAGGAAAGCTGAGGCCAGATGGGATGGGGCTGCCCAAGGGCACTCAGCGAGCCAGCAGTGGAGCTGAGGCTTGACCCAGGTGCCCAAGTCACCAGTTCGACGGCTCAGGCACAACAGCCTGATCCAACACGCTGGCTTTTGGCATCTATATGCTGAGTTTTCATTCTCAAACCCTCCGGCCCAGTCGCCCACTCAGCTTAACGCACCAACCTGCCGAAATCTCAGCCTCTGCTGAGCACTTTTGGGATGGACAGTCTCCGGCACCAGACCAGCCACACCCCCCGACCACCCCAGTGTACGCTGACCTAAGGCCAACATACACTGCCCTTCTCAGCCTGTCTTCATGTCATACTTACTTCAACACTGTCATTTTGCCTGTTTTATGTAGCAGAATGGGGTTTTGCTGAGCTCTTTAAAAAAAGTCCCCGTCACCTTCCACTGCTGCTGAAAAGCCAGGACCAAACTACCATTGTCCTCGGAGGAGCTGCAGCCATTGTTCCCACCAACGGGTGACAGGAAGTTTCCACGTTCTCTCTCCCACTGCTCCCCCAATTTCCACTCACTCAGGGATGACACCACCCGCTGGTGCTGAAAAGAAAGGCTTCCAGGCAGACACACACAGTCCCTCATTGTTGTCCTGGTCATCACAATGGCCACGCACTTAACAGGTGCCGATCAGTGTGCTAAGCACTTCAGGGTGATCTCTCCTTTCACCCAAGAACTGTTTTACAGATGAGGAAGCTGAGGTGACCAAAAGGTCCCTTGCCCAAGTCCTCACAACCAGGAAGCAGTGGCATGACCTGATCTAACCACAGCGCTCTACAGCTGCCCTTTTGTGTCCATTCCATCAATAGCTATTACACAGATGGAAGAAGGGTACTTGCAACTTGAGGCCAGGGCACAATGGCCATTTGTCATCTAAAACAAATCTGTATTTTCTCCAAGCACCAGACACTTCAAGTTAGCACAGTTCTGAAAGGGTGCCCCCGTTGGACACCCCATGAATTGGCAATCATGCAGACAGTCCCTGATGTCGTCCCTACCATGAACTGGTCCCCATTCTTCTCTGACTCCATCAACTGCTCCTCCCCTCCTTCATTCTGCTTCAGCCCTACACTCCTCATGCTGTTTCTTAAAATCATTGGGCACGTGACCTCAGGACCTTTGCACTTGCTGTTGAATGCTCTGCCTTCAGAGAGCTGTATGGCTTGCTCCCTCGCTCCCTTCAGGTCTCTGATCAGATATCTGCTCATCAGACACGTTCTTTGACCGCTGTCTATAAAAATGTGCCTGCACTCCCTGACTCTTTCCATGGCCCTTCCTGCTTCCACCCCCACCCCCAGCCACCCTACATACTACAGTTATTATTTGCTGGAGGAACAAATGAAACAAAACAGAGAGGCTGCTCACTCTTGGCTACCACCTCCTGCAGAGGGTAGCCTCCTGGGACCCTTTTCAAAGCTGCCTTCAAGCTCATTCCAACCAGCCTGAAAAGAAATATTCTGTGGGAAAGATCATATGGGATGATTTTCCCACGGAGGCACCAGGCAGCCCTTTCCCCCTGAAAAAACAAGTGTGCTGGCAGGTGCAGGCAGAGCCTGGAAATCCTGAACACCTCAGGCACAGAGCAGCCAAGTCCAATTCCACCCACAGAGCTACAGTGGCCAGCGCAGTCAGTTTCAGTTTCAACTCACCTGCCTGGCTCCTGCTCCTCAGGTTTGCAACCCCGCCCCATCCCTTTCCCCCCTGTTGGGCTGTTGGATTTCCTGCACGTTCCCATCCCTTTTAGCAGCTGACCCGGGCTTGAAGCTGTCCCTGAGCATGTAAGCACTGCTGTGGGGGAACTTGATTAAGCTCATCCAACAGGTAGGGGGGCAGGGGTTGGCCCTGGCGGTCCCACACCGACCCCCCCATGTTGTAGGGGCATCCAACAAGGAGTCATTTTCTCTCTGGAGCAAGGGAGCTCAGTTTCAAAGACACGTTTCTCAGACCTGGTAGCAGGGGTAGAGGAAGCCCTCCCACCACTGGCCGAGATGGACCTGTGCAAGTGGTCGCGGCGGCGATGCTGAGGCGATGCTGAGGCGCCGGAGGCAGGAGGGGAAGGGGCAGAACGCAGGTGCATCCCTTGGCTCCAGGAACGGACAGGATGCTTCCTCGGCGGAGGAAGAGCGGAGGATGCGGCCCGGGCCGGCAGGGGATGTCGTCAGGCTAGGGCTGGGGTCTGGGGGAGACCGAGGTCGACGAGGCGGAGCTTGGGGTCCCGAGGGCGGGAGGCCCGGGCGGGAGGGGGTCGCGCCGCAGGGACCCTTGGCCTTTACCTTGCCCTTAGGGCTGCAGGCCGCCCAGTGCTGGCTCCGGGGCTCGGCCCCTCCTCCCCCGATTCGGCTCCTACAGCTCGGAGCCTGCAGCCGCCGCCTCCGCTGTCAACAAACCACGGTCGCGTCACTTCCGGGGCCGCCCCATAGCAACAGCGGATCGGTGTCCCCGAAGGGTCCCGCGGCGAACGCAGGCGGTGGTGGCGGAAGGTTCCGGAGCCCTGGAGGGGCTCCTCTTCGGACCCGGAGCCAGTTGCCGCAGAAGGAAGGAGCAGGTGGGGCGCGCACCGGGCAGTGAGCGCGTGCCTCGGCGGCTGTCGCTGGCCTGCCTGTGGGCGGTCGGCTCGTGTGACCCCTGGGTTTGGCCCGCTCTGTCCTGCAGCTCACCAGATTCCAGGCAGGGCTTCAGGGCGGGACTGACTCCACCTTCCCCTTCAGCACCGACCTCTCTCGGAGTGCCAGCCCCCACACCCAGCGCCCTGTTGAACATCTCTGGTTCCACAGGTAACTCACGCCCACGCGACTAAACGCAGTCATCACCCTCCTCTCCAACGCCCTGCTACTTTTCCAGCTAGGTAATGAGCCACCAGGCAACGTGGTTGTCACGTGGGAAGTTGGTAGTGGGCCTGGGCCTCTGCGTTTTCCTCATCTCCTGGCGCAGTCGCCAAGTCCTAAGGATCTCTCAAACCCAGGCCCTTCTCTGCTAACCCAGCAGGGCCGGACTCTGTCCACCATCATTTCTTCTCTGGGGTTCCGTGGCAGCCTCCTCATGCAACTCCCTGCTCCTTCCCGTCATTCTCTCCACAGACCCAGGGTGATTTTTCCAAAACTTAAATCTGATCTGGGCACTCCCCTGCTTACAGCCCTCACTGTGGACGACAAGGATATTTGTCTCCTGCCTCCCCCTCCAGCCTCCTGTCGCCTCCCCTTACTTCCCCACTTCCACTCTCCAATCCAGAGAGTTTAAAGCATTGCTTTGCTGTTTTTTTTTTTTTTTTTTTTTTTTTTTTTTAGTGAACCTTTTCTCTCCCATAGGCTCAAACAGTAGCTTCCCAAATAAACACTTTTTACCCCGGCTGTTGTGTTTGAGTCCCCGGCCTGCCAATCAAAGAGCTGCAGGTTCGATTCCCAGGCAGGGCACATGCCTGGGTTGCGGGGCCAGGTCCCCAGTGGTGGGCGTGTGAGAGGCAACCACACAGCGATGTTTCTGTCCCTCCCTTTCTCTCTCCCTTCCCCTCTCTAAAAATACATAAATAAAAATCTAAAAAAAAAACCCCAAAACACTTCTCTTGCTCCCATGCATACCCAGAATACTCCTCCACCTTCTGGTCTCAGTTTAGATGTTACTTCCTCTAAGAATTCTATCTTGACAACCCTCACCCCAATTCTAATAACTAGCTTTGCGTTTTTTCCCCTTCGCATACTGTATTTTAGCTTCTGACTGTGCAACTATGTATCAATACAACTTTGAATTGTTTCAAAAGTCTATTGGATTTATTTTTTTAAGATTTTATTTATTTATTTTTAGAGAGAGGGGAAAGGAAGGAGAGAGGGAGAGAAACATCGATGTGTGGTTGCCTCTTGGGTGCCCCAAGAGGTACTGGGGACCTGGCCTGTGACCCAGGCATGTGCTCTTACTGGGAATCAAACTGGCAACCTTTTGCTTTGCAGTTGCATGCTCAATCCACTGAGCCACACCAGCCAGGGTAGATTTTAAACTACCATAGTTAGCCATGCTTGTAAAAAAAATCCAAACAATACAGAAATATATGGCAGAAAAAATGAAAATCCCCATCAAAACCTAACCTAACCCCAATTTTATGCTCTTCCTTCCTCAGAGATGGTCACTCTAAACAACTTGGTATTTGCTTAGACCTTTAAAAATATGCATGTATATGTAAGAACTAAAACTATAAAACTCTTAGGACAATACGTAGGAATAAGTCTTTGTGACTTTGGGTTAGGCAGTGTTTTTTTTTTTTTGAATTTATTGATTTTAGAGAAAGAGGGGGGAGGAGAAAGAAAGAGAGAGAAAAGTATCAATTTATTTCGTTCCATGTACTTATGCATTCATTGGTTGAGTCTTGTATGTGTCCTCACTGGGAAATGAACTTGCAGTCTTGTTATATGGGGCTAATGCTCTAACATGCTGAGCTACTCGGCCAGCATGGCAATGGTTTCTTTAATATGACACCAAGCACAGGAGAAAAATATAGACAAGTTGGATTTCATCAAAATTAAAACTTTTGTGCTTCAAAGGGCACCATCAAGAAAGTGAAAAGACAACCCACAGAATGGGAGGAGATATTTGCAAATCGTATATCTGATAAAGAATGGTAATCCAGGATATATATAGAACTGAATAATAAAAAGGCAAATAACCTAATGTAAAGTAGGCAAAAGAGCTGACTAGACATTTCTCCAAAGATGATATACAAACGGCCAAGACACACGTGAAAAGATATTCAGCATCATTAGTGGTCAGGGAAATGCAAATGAAAACCACCACGAGATACACCTTCCTATGTGTAGGGTGGATATGAACAAAACATAGGCAACGACAAGTATTGTCAAGGAAGTGGAGAGATGGGAACATTCCTGTGTTGCTTGTGGGAATATAAAATGGTGCAACTGCTTTGGAAAGGTCACCAGACAACCTAGCAATTCTACTCCTAGGTATATGCCCAGGAGAAAATGTTTGTAACGGCATCATTCATAACACTCAAGAAGGGAAATAACCCAGTGTTCATCAGCTGGTGAATGGATATGATATACAACAGTATATTCATAAAATGGAATATTATTCAGCACTAAAAAGGAATGAAATATTGCTACTACAACATGGAATGACCTTGAAAACTTATGGTGAATGAAAGAAACCAGTCACCATACATTGTATGATTCTATTCTTATGTTCAGAAAAGGCAAAGCTATAGAGACAGAAAGTAGGTTAGTGGCTGCCTATGGTGGAAGGGGTAGAGAAAAGGATGGGTACAAGGCTTTGGGGTGGATGATGAAAATGGTCAGATTTTTATGGTGCTGGTAGTGGCATGGGTGGTAGTTGTACAACTTTAAATATATGCTCTAGATGTATGGTTTTAAATTATATCCCAATAAAACTGTTAAAGTGCCCTTATAAACACATGTGTACACAGAAACTCATAGTGCAAGATGGATTTCAAAATATAAATAGAATCACAATATACATATTATGCTGTGACATTTCTACCACTTTTTGTGTTAGATCATATAGTCTGTTTAACTCTTGAAAATTGCACAATTTTCTCATTGGTGGAATTTCGTTGACAAAAAAAAAAAAATTCAGCCCTGGCTGGTGTGGCTCAGTGGATTGAGCACCTGCCTGCGAACCAAAGGGTTGCAGGTTCAATTCTCAGTCAGGGCACATGCTTGGGTTGTGGGCCAGGTCCCCAGCTGGGGGCCTGCAAGAGGTAACCAGTAGATGTTTCTCTCCCTCTTTCTCCCTCCCTTCCCCTCTCTCTAAAAAATAAATAAAATATTTTTAAAAATGTGTTTGTGTGTGTATGTGAAAAAATTATTAAATAAAAATGAGGCTTAAAAATGTTCTATGGAATCTATTAAAAAGCTTCTCAATCTAATGAGTTGCAGAGCAGATAAAGAGCTTCCCAGACAAGAAACAACTAAAGGAGTTCATCACCACCAAACCATTATTATATGAAATGTTAAAGGGACTTATTTAAGGAAAAGAAGAACAAAACGATGAATAATAAAATGGTAATAAACATATCTATCACCAATTAAATCTAAAAAGCAAACTAAGCAAACAAGAACAGAGACAGAATCATGGATACGGAGAGCAGTTTGATGGTTGCCAGATGGGAGGGGGGATGGGGAGATGGGTGAGAGGTGAGGGAATTAAGAAGTACAAACAGGGCCCTGGCTGGTGTAGCTCAGTGGATTGACCGAGGGCCTGCCAACCACACCATCACTGGTTCAATTCCCAGTCAGGGCACATGCCTGGGTTGCAGGCCAGTTCCCAGTAGCGGACACATGAGAGGCAGCCATACGTTGATGTTTCTCTCCCTCTCTCCTTCCCTTCCCTTCTAAAGATAAATAAATAAAACATTTTTTAAAAAGTACAAACAGGTAGTTACAGAGTAGCTCCGGTGAGGTAAAGTGCAGTACAGGGAATGGAGTAGCCAAAGAATTTATACCATGACCGTGGATATGAACAGTGGTGTGGGGATGGCCTGAGGGAGTGGGGTGCTGGGTGGAGGCAAAGGGAGGGGGGACAAAGGGGGAAAATTGGGACAACTGTAACAGCATGATCACTAAAATGTAATTTTAAAAGAGTTCTATGGAATCTACAAAAAAGTTCCTCAATGTAATGAATGAGTTTAGCAAGATTTCAGGATATGATATCAATAAAAGCAATTTAAAATTAGTTAAGATTTATTTAAAAATTTATCATAAAATAATGATTAGTAAAACAAGTTTTATTATTAAAAATTGTTATTATAAATTAATTTTATTATAAATAATAAAAGCAAGTAAGCAATTTTTTTCTGTATTCCAGTAATAAACACTTGGCAAATGAAATGTAAAAAAAAAAAAATTTATGATAGTATCAAAAGAAACACGAGATCCTGCCCTGGCTGCCACGGCTCAGGGGACTGAGTGCCAGGCTGGGAACCAAAGGGTTTTTCAAATCCCAGTCAGGGCACATGCCTGGGTTGCAGACCAGGTCCCCAGTAGGGGGCACTCCAGAGGCAACCACACATTGATATTTCCCTCTCTCCCTTCCCCTCTCTAAAAATAAATAAATACTTTCAAAAATATATGAGATACTTAGAGATAAATATACACTGGAAAGTACAAAAATTTTTCTAAGAGAAATTAAAGACCTAAACAAATGGAGAGCTATATTAAATCCATGGATCAGATGGATCAATAATGTTAAACTAGCAATTAACTTTCAAATTGACCTATAGATTCTGTACAGTCCCAACCTAAATCCCAGCAACTACTTTTTTTCATCTTCACAAGAGGACATCCTTATGGAGGGGAAGGGAGGGAGGGGCGGAAACATCCATGCAGGAGAGAAACAATTGGTTGCATTC